TAAAATAATTAAAAAAAAATTTTTACTGCAAATTATATATAGAATATAAATAATATAAGATTTATTATTCCTTTTAGAGTTTAAATGTATTTGCTAAAAAGATGTCTGTCAAGTTTACAAAATTGCTCATAGCAATATATATAAGTTTATATTTATTGCTTTAACTATTTTTGATACTAGTAGTTATATACTACTATTATTTATTTATAAAGATGTTTATACAATTCTAGACTTGCTAACTAGTACTTCATCTAGTAGTGTTATGACTTTTATAAATTTTGGGTATATAAAAGAGTATATATTTAAAATATACATTAAACATTTTATTAATTTAATTCAAACTTCTCATTTTATTCTTCTAATTCTTAATAAATATAAAAGTTATATTAATTATGCATGTATTAATTTTTGTTATTTTTATCTTTATTTTTATTACTATATACATTTTTAGAATTTTTAAAAATAAAAAATGAATATTTTAAAAAAGAAATTAAACAATCAGAAAAAATAAAACAAAATTATATTGCAATACAAGAAAAGTTAGAGATATTTAAAAATTTTGGTACTTCTTCATTAAAACTAATACTAAAATATTTTGCTTCATATTTATTAATTGCTAATAAAAATAAAACTAAAGAAGCTTTACAATAATCAAAAAAAAGAAAAATGTTGCCATTTATCTAATTTTTTACTAATAATAAATCATTAAAGGCTTTAAAAAAAGTAGATAATTTAACAAAAAAGAAAGTTAAAAAAACCAAAAGAAAAAAGGAAGTAGCTGCTTAAAAAAGAGTTAAATATAAATTAAAAAAGACATAAAAGCAAACAATGAATAAAAAAAACTAAAAAAAATATATATTTAAAAATATTACTATTAAGTGATTTGTACATAGTTTTGTTATTTTTTTTTAATTAGATTATGTAATATTAAATAACATTTAATTAATTATTATTAGAAATAATTTATCACATTACTCTTTAAATATAAACTTTTAATTTTTTTATATTTTTAAATAATTAATAAAATAATATAAAGTAAATCAATCATATTGTCAACCTTCAAGTAACAGATCTAAAGTTTTTTTTTTTTTATTAAAGGTTATGCTTTGTGATAAAACTTTATTAACATTATTGGAGTTAGTAATTATACTATTTTATACAGAGATAAGAGTACAACTAGTTATATATGCAATTTTTGGTTGCCTATTTAAATAGTCCATTCTAGAGTTCTACACTAGATTCTGTACTTATAATTTATTAGAAGATTATTCATTTAAACCTTCTGATTATCTGCCTTTGTCATGATATAATACTAACTAACTCCTATATATACCTAACTAATATACTGTTTAGACAGTATAGTACCTATCTTTTTTGTACTAGTTCCTAGGCTGTTACATATTTCAGAGTATATTACTTGACAGTAAGATACTATGAACCTCTTATTGTTAACTATCTATCTACTTTTAGAATACTAACAAGAGCTACCCTTATAAAGTTTATCCAGATCCTGGCACTGACTTTATAACATATTTTTAGTACTTTTAGTATATTTCTGCTTTGACCTCAGACTTCCAATTCAGATAGTCTGAAAGAACTATAACCTGTCCTTAGTATATTAAAACCAGTCTAATATTCTTTTCCTTTGATCTGAAATCCAGTAGCCTAATTGGTAATACTCCTTACTTGAGGTTCTTGCTTGCTTTATTCCTCTATATTAATATCCATTTCTTAGATCTAGTCTTTATAGTAATACTATCAAAGATCTGTACTATCTTTCTGCTCAGAATTTCTAAGTAAACTTTAGCTTCCTAATTTTATAGATTTATATAACAACAGTAACTTATTTTAGATCTGTATTGCCTGGTACCAGTTTGTATTCCTCTGTATAACTAATGTTACACAGATACCCAGATTTGCTAGTTATATTGGTATAACCATAGTTATAGGTATTTTATCTCAACTAATTAATATAATGTTATTATTGTAATACTGTCTATATATTATATAAATGCTTATCTAAATTTTATTGTTAATGGGTTTTGAACTTCTAACCTATTACTTGGAAGAATAACAATTTATTTATTTTACTAAGTCACTATACTCTTTTATATCTAAAGTTCAAATTCCAGTATTAATAAAAATTTGAAATTCTTTTTGTATTATAATTAACTGTTTTCTGCTATTGGTTGAAATCAGATACCTATTATCTGCATCATAGCAGCATAACTGGAAGGTTATATGATATTTGTATAATAGTTACATTTTGTACAAAAGAACACAAACTGGTATTAGATAATATGTATCTATAATAAATTTTTATGATTATATAAATTACAGAAATCAAGAAAACAAAAATTTACTTAAAAGACCAAATAGTCTGAACTTTCAATGATACTATTATAAAGATTAGACCTATAAAACAAAACTAGAACTTGTAAAACCAAATAAAGATATAGTTTTTAGAAAAAATTATTATAATTAGTCAGATTGCTAAGATTTAGTTTAAAAGAAAAAATTACATGTTAGAGAATAGATAAACTTGAGATATAGTTATACTTATCTTTCTAGATTATCTGGACTAAGAACTTGATAGAACTTAAATTGAATCCTAAAGTAATAGGAATATGTTATGAAATAAATATTAAGATTAAAATGAACTCTATAAGAACATAATAGTTTAATGATACACCTAATTATAAATGTTAGTTTTAGTTATAATATTACCAAGTTAGCTGTAAGAATAAGATACAGAAGATTTTAGAAGATTTAATAAAAGATCAAAGGTTCCTCATATGAGTAAACTATTTTAAAAACTTAGTATAGTCTGGTGCATAAAGATTTGCACCTCATCGGAGAAGGATATGATTTAGTGTAAAAAAAAAAATTTATGCAATTATGATATCAGTCTAAAATTTATATATTTAGTAGAATTTATTTAAACAAATCTGCAGTGTTGATTATTTTCTTTAATTATGCCTCCTCCTTCTTTAAAAAGAGATGATGCGCCACTAACAGAGAATGAAAAGATAATGGTTATCAACGTTTACAATCACCTTTCCGGAATTAATTCAGCAAAAAATGATCATCGAAAGCTGACATTATGCAAGCGAGCTGCTGAAGTATTGGGTGTTTCTGAGAGAACAGTTGGGGGTGTGGTAGCAGACTGGAACAAATGCAATGACAGTACATTTACACCCCAAAAAACTCTTGGCCGACCTAAATTTCAACCTGATCAAAATGTATCGGAATTACTGCGCATAAAAATTTTAGATGCTAACAAAATGAGTGAACCACTTTCTACGCCTATCCTATATCAGTTTCTTTTTAAACATGGATATTCATTTTCTAAATGGAAACTTCTTTGGCTATTGCATTGTTTGGGCTTTTATTTTGGCAAGGGAGAATGAAGGAATATCCTTCATGAGGCACCCAACAATGTTGCATTTCATTGTGTTACCTTCACTTTCGCTTTGCCAATTTGGAAGGCAAAAATGATATTCTGTATCAGCCTGAGGTTTTTCTTGATGAGTCATATTGCCATTTAAATCACATGTCACACAACACTTGGCTTCCCCATTATGGTGTCATTTTAGCCCCTGGGCATGGTCTGTTAGTAGTAATTTTTGGAGCAATTATAGTATTCTGAAATGGATCTTCCAACAAACTACATGGTAAACTTGTTCCAAATTCTATTCATATTTGGGACCCAACAATTAAGCCTCTAGGAAACTGTGAACGAAAAAGAAAGAACATTAAAGAATAGAATGATATTCTAGATGTTGTTAAAGGTGCAAATATCATTCCTTACCAAGTGGATTACCATGATAACTTTAACGGTGACATTTTTGAAGATCTTTTTTCAAATCTTTATAAAGCACTTTATGAAAAGTATGGGTCAGTAATCATTCATATAGACAGGGCAACCTATCATAAACGGCGAATCAAAAATGTTCCAACATCAAGTGCAAAAAAAACAAGAAATGTTTGACTGGTTAACTGCTCATAATATTTCTTTTTCTGGTGAATTAAAAAAACTAGAGCTCTTGGATTTAGTTCAAAAAAATAAGGAAAAGGTATTATTTGCTTGTGTTGAAATAGCAAAACGATACAATCATCAAGTTTCTTACACCCCACCATATCACTGTGAACTTCGACCCATAGAGGGTATTTGGGTAGTTGTAAAGGGTGAAGTTGCATATTTAGGTCCTTATAAAAATCTTTTGTCTATTCGTAATATACTTTTAGATTCATTTAAAACCAAAATCAATTCAAAAATTATAATTGGGTTTTGGAGAAAGGCACTTAAATATGCTAAGGATTATTTTGAGTCCAATGAAAATGTGCAGCTAATCAATGAAGAAATCGATGATATTTATAGTTCAGATAATGACATGGATTTAATTTAAAATTTATATTTTTGTATTTCCCAATTTGTATAGAATTATTTGAATAAAAAAAAATATATATTGCTTAATAAATTTTTTTTTTATTTACATTTTCTTGAGGTGCAAATCTTTTTGCACCAGACCATAATTATAACATATTTTCATTGGTATTGACTGAGATCATTGATAGGTGTAGGTAGACAAGTAGATACAAAAACTAGAATATTGAAATAAGGAACTTACAAGCAAGTTTCAGGTATGACAGCTAGTATAAAATTTTCAGATAGACTATTTAAATTAGACAATAATTAAAGTTGTATAAGTAGCTAGTTGTACACTCTTTTCATGATTGCCTCCTGTAATTGTGATGCAACCATTAGTTAAATGTACTATCAATAAAAACCTAGGTCACAAGTACTCATCTTAATATTTTTTTAAAACAAAAAAAAATAATATAAAAATTACTAGCAAAGTTCTTCTTTTATTGTGATTAATTTAAAATATATTGGATGGAGTATAAGTCTTATAAATTTTATAAATAATTATCTTTTTTTTGAAAACTTTTACTAATAACTATTCTTAACCGCGCCATTATATTTCTGGTTACTTTACATGCAACGTGAAACTTTACATTCTTCAAATAAACGATGTGATAATCTGAATAATCAATTAATTGAGAGCTTGTATATCAGATTACATGGAATGCTTTTTACCGAAATTGGTCTTGAATTTATTGATCAGATTTTAGAAATATTTATAGACATATTATTCAGATTGAAAGATATTCAGAGTTATAATGATACAAATGGGACAAAGTGGTTGTAATTTTGTATGCGAATGACGGTTATGAATATATCAAGCTTATAAACTATGGCAATACCGAAAATTCGTCTCTCAGGTTAACCACATCAACTAATATGAATTTTAATCAAATTCTAGATTTAGATCCAACATTTGCTGAAGAATCTAGGCTTACTTTTACTGTTATGTATCAATTAATGTCTAAATATCTTGACTCTATATCGTTTCAGGGTGAAGTCGATGTTTCTGAGGGCTTGCTTTT